TAAAGTACACAGTCTAAGATTAAAAAGTGAAAATAATACAGTGAAATAAGTGTAAATAATTATCATTACAATAAAAGTATAAAGTAAGAAAAGTGAAATAAGCTTCTTATTTGAGACTCGTTTTTGTCTGTTTGACTGAAGCTTCTGAGTTCTACTGTGTCCAATAGTTTTTGTTTTATGTATTTATTTTATCAACTAAATTAGTTTAGTGATTAGTGATTACATACTGAAAGTGATTTTGTTTGCAAGTAAAGAATCAGTTAAATTCACTTTACTTTTTCTTTTTTGTTTTTGTTTTAATTTTTACACTTTGATGAAGGCCAATTAGAATTGATTGATCACATGTGTTTATGTGATCAAGGGAGGGACTATGAACAATAGAAGGCCATGGCCTATATAGTAGTACCAAAAACAAGATAAAATAGAAGTACAAGACACACAATGTTCTTTGATTGTATATCTGCTACGATTGTGTATCCGTTGTTTTAGCTGACTGACGCCAATATATCCAATATATAATGTTTCCCTGTTTATTGTTCTGCCTGAATCTACTGCCTGTTGTGAATAAACTTCCAGGTTGCTCTGGTGTGCAAAGATCCCTGCCTATGCGTCTGATTTTCGACACCATAAACAACTGTACACCTGGAGTTTGCCTGTTCCTTCTGACCCAGAAAGACTTAGTTGACGTCGTATCCATTATCAGCTCATCCAGACACTCACAGTATTTCACCATCACAATATTATCCAATTGTCACATTTTTTCCAATTCCCAGCCCTAGTCTTAACCCTGTGCTGCAGCTGCTGAGCTTTACAGACCAAACACACACTTTCCTCCAGGTAGACCCATAATGAGCTCTTTAGCATCATTTCCACAAAGATACTACACTTTTTATTCATGGTATCCACACATTACATTATAAATAATGTTATTGTAATAAATGTGTTTTATTTTGATTCTCTGGTTTTTAATGACCTGCTCACTCCAGTGGCTCTTTTATTCAGGTCCTACAACCGTTGCTTTTAATATAAATACATTTTAAATCTCCCTCTCGGACACAGACAAACATTGAGACGCATTTTCTGATGATTAAAAATACAATCAACCATCAATATTTCCATACAGTATCTGTGTTCACAACTGAGTTGCTAGCCATCTGGTGGGCTCTTGATTGCGTAGAGAGGAATAATTTTGAATCCTCTTATATTTATTCAGATTCAGTGTCTGCTTTACAGGCTATATCTGCTGGCCTGTCTGGGGCCCGAGCCGATATAATCTTGTAGATGTTGTGTTGCCTCCGTCGGCTTGAAGCAAGGGGATCTAGTGTAGTATTTCGCTGGATCCCATCTCATTCAGGTATAGTGGGGAATGAGAGAGCTGATACACTGGCTAAGCAGTCTCTTCTGTGTGAGGAAATAGAGTATAAAATCTGTTTGGGAAAATTAGAGTGTATAAGTATCATAAAAAGTGTTGTGCAAAATCAGTGGCAAAAAGTGTGGGAGAAAGAGAAAAGGGGGAGGCATTATTTTAATTCTCAGCCCCTGGTGCAAAATATTAGGCCTGTGTGGATATCTAGCCGGGCAAATCAGGTAAAGATTGTTAGATTGAGGCTGGGGCATTGTGGGCTAGCAGCATATTTGGAAATCATTGGCAAGCATCGTGATGGATTATGTCAGTGTGGTCAACCTGAAACGGTGCCTCATGTGTTATTGTTTTGTGCTCTATACTCAACAGAAAGACAGGTTATGTACAAGCAGCTGTCAGATCTTGGATTAGCAGTATTTTCATTAAAATCTGTATTTTCCTCGGTAAAGAATTCGCGTTTGATCGACAAAGCAGTTGTATCCTTCCTTCTCTCCACCAGTTTGTACCAACGAGAGTAATAATGTAGTATCAACCTGAACGGAAGAGGGCAATGCGTTGCTGGTGGAAGCAGGTGAGATGCCATTGAGTCTGAGAAGAATCAAATTATCACTTGTATTTTGGGTAAAGTTGAAAGGGTCGGGCCTGCCTGCAAACAGTGTGTTGAAGAATTGTTGGGAGTATTTACGGCCACAGAAATGTAAAGGCTTTGGGTGGACTATTGACAACACAGCTCGGCAGTTTGGGGTAAATGAGTTGGAGGTTGGCCCTGCGCTGGTGTGGGGTGATGTACCCCCTTGGATCTTACCCCTGCCTAATGTGAATATTAATTTGATTAAGAGAAGGAAATGTTGGAATGAGACGAATGGTGCGGCACTTGCTGAAGAGTATGTAAGGAAGAGTTATTACAGTTATTTGGAGATATACACAGATGGATCAAAAGATCCAAATACAGGGCGTGTTGGGGCTGGTGTGTATATTCCGGAGTTTGATGTGTCGATTGGTAAAAGGATTCCTAATAACATGTCAGTGTTCACAGCTGAGATAACGGCCATCATTCTAGCTCTACAGTGGGTAGAGGAGGTCCGGCCTGAGAGAGTGGTTATTTGCTCAGATTCAGCGGCTGCAGTGGAAAGTCTCCATGCTAAGGAAACCTGCCGAGATGACTTGTTACTAGAAGTTCGCCTTGCATTGCTAAGGGCACAGAGGTCTGGCTTGGTGGTGTGTTTTTGTTGGATCCCTGCTCATATAGGCATAGCTGGCAATGAAACAGTAGATAGAATAGCAAAAAAGGCACTAAAGTTACCAGATGAGGACATTGTGAGGATTCCAGCAGGTAAAGGAGAGGCAAAATCCTTGATTACTGAAGCAGTTCGACGTGTGTGGCAGAATATGTGGGACTAAGATGGTAAAGGGAGACATCTGTATAGTATTCAAAAAGCCGTCAGGATAGAAGGTTGTAAGGGGAAAGGTAGGAAGGAAGAGATGGTGCATTCGAGATTAAGATTAGGGCACACGGGTTTTAGGAAAACGTTATTTTTAATGGGAAAAGTAGAGTCTGAGAATTGTGATATGTGTGATGTGCCAGAGAGCGTGGAGCATGTGTTGATGGAATGTAGGAAGTATGAAAGGCAGAGGAGGATTCTGAGGGATAGGATGTATGAGCTGGAGAGGGCTTGGAGTCTACAAGGTATCCTGGGTAGAGGGGACAGTAGGAGTATAAGGGCAGTGATGGGGTTCCTAAAAGGGGCAGAGCTCTTTCACAGAGTATATTTTTTTTATTTTTTTTGTTGTTGTTTGTTGTTGTGTGGTTTGCCCCCCTCCGGGGTGGTAAGCTATGCACAATCAGAATGTAACCTGAAGTAACTAGCTTCCCGAGACACACACGGTACAGTAGGTGGCGGTATGCACCTAAGCTGTTGGTTGCCACCCGCCAATAATCGACAGAAGAAGAAGAAGAAGAACGGAAGAGGTGATTACACTCTATAGTGTACAGCCTGCCGGAAATAAATGAAGAAGAAGAAGAAAGAAGCCTCCCTCAGTCTGCGCATGCGCCTCCCTCAGTCTGCACCTAGCGTCTGAGGAGGTGGGTCACGTTTTTACACTCTGCATGATTTCGGTTTGAATAATTAGAAAACTTTGAATATCCAAATTAAAATGTTATTTCTGTTGTTAAAAATCCAAATGTACAAGTCAGAGCCTTTTGAATCCATGTTTTGAGTCTGTAGTTTATGTAGTCACATGTGAGAGCTAGCTGCTAACAGGGGACTTCGAGCGTGTGATATGGAGAGACCATGAGGATTTGTCTTTTCTTTTATACAGGTATGTGCAACGCAATATTGTTTTTAGCGGTAATTATGGTATTTTTTTGTATTCTTTTGGTCTGTACTGTATATGCACTGTGTTAGTGAAAAAAAAAAACCTGAAAAAATGATGGAATGAATCAACTGGTCCCTCAACGCAATTGATACTATTTTTTCATCGGTTAAAGACCGCGGTGAAGTTAGTTTGAAGTTGGATATCCGACAGACATTCGCCGCAACATTTAAGTGCACCCGTACTACACACAGTACGGTAAACACGCGGAGACATGTACGCTGGTCTAATATTTACATATAAAAATTCATTAAAAATACTTAAAACACTTTAATGATCAAAGAAGAGGTGTACCCCCTGCAGCTAGTGGAGGACTATGATCCTGACCTGATTTGGAGTCAATAGGTCACATGACCTGGAAGCTATTGAGCTAAAATGCTAATATTTGCCTTTAAAAATTCATTATAAATTCTTAAAAAAACTTAAATGACAAAAGAAGAGGTGTACCCCCTACAGCTAGGGGAGGACTTTGATCCTGACCTGATTTGGAGTCAATTGATCACATGACCTGGAAGCTATTGAGCTACAATGCTAATATTTGCCTTTATAAAATCATTAAAAATACTTACAAAAACTTAAATGAGAAAAGAAGAGGTGTACCCCCTGCAGCTAGTGGAGGGCTATGATCCTAAACTGATTTGGAGTCAATAGGTCACATGACCTGGAAGCTATTGAGCTAAAATGCTAATATTTCCATGTAAAAATTCATAAAAAATACTTAAAAAAACTTAAATGACAAAAGAAGAGGTGTACCCCCTACAACTAGGGGAGGACTATGATCCTGACCTGATTTGGAGTCAATAGGTCACATGACCTGGAAGCTATTGAGCTAAAATGCTAATATTTACATATAAAAATTCATTAAAAATACTTTAAAAAAATTAAATGACAAAAAAAGAGGTGTACCCCCTGCAGCTAGTGGAGGACTATGATCCTGACCTGATTTGGAGTCAATAGGTCACATGACCTGGAAGCTATTGAGCTAAAATGCTAATATTTCCATGTAAAATTTCATAAAAAATACTTTAAAAAACTTAAATGAGAAAAGAAGAGGTGTACCCCCTGCAGCTAGTGGAGGGCTATGATCCTAAACTGATTTGGAGTCCATAGGTCACATGACCTACAAGCTATTGAGCTAAAATGCTAATATTTACATGTAAAAATTCATAAAAAATACTTAAAACATTTTGAAAAACAACAATGATGATAAAAAAAGAGGTGTACCTCCTGCAGCTAGTGGAGGACTTGCACACCCCCCCCCGCATCACCCCCCCCCCCCCCCCCGCACCCCCCCCACATCCCCCCCCCCCCCCCCCCACCCTCCACCCCGCCCCTCCCCCCCCCCCCCCATCCCCCCCCCCCACCCCCCCCCCCCCCCCACCCCCCCCCCTCCGCCCCGCCCTCCTCCTTCCCCCCACCCCCTCCCCCCCTCCGCCCCACCCCACCCTGCCACACCCACACCCACTAATCCCCCCCCCACCCCGCCCCCCCACCCCCACCCTTCCCCCGCCACATCCCCCCGCCGTCCCCCCCGCCCCCCCACACGCACCACCACCGCGTCCTCCCTGCCCTCCACTCTCCCCCCCCGCCACAGCGCCCACCCCCCCCCCGCCCCCCCCCCCCCCCCCCCCCCCCCCCCCACTCCCCCCCTCAAACACCCCTCCCCCCCCCCCCCCCCCCCCTAACCCCCCACCCCCCCCCCCCCCCCCTCCAAGCCCTCCACGCTCCCGCGCCCCCCGTCCCCCTATCGCCACCCCCCCCTCCCCCCACCCTCACCCCCCCCCCCCCCCCCCACCCACCCCCACCCCCGCCTCCCAGACTCCCCCCCCCCCCCCAAGCCCCCCCACTCCGCCACCTCCCCCCCCACCCCCCCTCAAGCCCCCCCCGCCCCCCCTCCCCCCCCCCCCCCCTCCCCCCCCCCCCCTCCATCCGCCTCCCCCCCCCCACCCTACCGCCCCCCCCCATCCGCCCCCCCCCCCCCCCTGCCCCCCACAACGACTGCCCCTCCACCCGCTGACTTCCCCCCTCCCACCCACCCACCCTCCCCGCCCCCGGCCTCCCCCCCCCCCGCCCCCGCCCGCCCCCACCCGTCCACCCACCCCGCCCACGGCACCCCCACCCTCTCGCCCCGCCCCACCACCCCCCCCCCCACCCCTCCCCACCCCCCCCCCCACGCACCTCCCCCCCACCCCCATCCCCCTCCCTACACCCCTCCTCCCCCCACCTCTCCCCCCCTCCCCCTCCCCCCCTCCCTCTCCCACTGAACCCCCCACCACCCTCCCCCCTCCCTCCCCCCCCGCCCTCCCACCCCCGTCCCCCCCCCCCTGCCCCCCTCAAACTCCCCCCGCCCCCCCCCACCCCCCCACCCCCCCCCTCACCCTCTCCCCTTGCCGCCCCCATCCCCCTCCCACCCCCACTCCCCCTCCCGCCCCCCAGTCCGCCCCCCCCCCCACCCCCACCCCCCCTCCACCCGCCGGCCTCCTCCCCCCCCCCTCCCCTTACCCCCCCCCCCCCCCTCCCCCCGCCCCCACCCCCCCCCCTCCCCCCTCCCTCCCTCCCCCTCCACCACCCCCTGTCCCCCCCCGATCCCCCTTCCCCCCTCCCCCCTCCCCCACCCCCTCCCACCATCCCCGCCCCCCCCCCCACCCCGCCCCCCCCCCCCCCCCCTTCCCCACCCCCCCCCCCCCCTCTCCCTCCCCACCCCCCCCCCCCCCCGACCCCCCCCACCCATGACCCCGTCCCTCCCGGCCCCCCCCCCCCCCCCACCCCCCACCCTCACTCCCCCCACGCCTCACCCCCCCCCCACAACGTCCACCCCTTGACCGACTCATCCCCACCCCCTCCCCGCCCCTCCTCCAATCACTAACCTCCTCCCCACCCTCCCACCCCCCCCACCCCCCCACCCCCGACCTCCCCTTCCGCTCCCCCCACTCCCCCCCCCCCCCCCCCCTCTCCCCCTCCCCCCTTCCCCCCCGGCCCCCCCCCACACTCCCACCCCCTCCCCACCCCCCACCATCCTCCGCCCCGCCCCCCCCCCCCACCTTTCCCACCCCCGCCTCTCTCCCCCCCCCCCCCCCTCACTCCCCCGCGCGCCCCCCCCCCACCCCCCCCCCCCCCCCCTCCCCCCCCCCACCCACCCCACCCTCCCCCCCCTACTGGCCCCCCCCCCCCCCCCCCCCCCCCCACCCCCCGCTCCCCGACCCACCGCCCTCCCACTCCCCCCTCCCCAAACCCCCCCCACCCCCCCCCCCCCCGCACCCCCGCCTTACCCGCTGCCCCCCCCCCCCCCCGCCCCCGCCAGCCTGCCATCGCGACCCACCCGATTTCCCCACTCCCCTCCACCACGCTGCCCACCTCCAGCCCGCGAACGCGACCCCACCAAACGGCCACACGCCCCTCCAGCACCCCCCCCACCCCACCTGCCCCCACCGCCCCCGACCACCCGTTGCGAGGATACCCCCAACCCCTCCACCGCTGCTTCGCACTCCACTGGCCCCACCGCGGCCTCGCCTCCCACTAAAAACGCCCCCCTTAACCAACCCCACCACCACACCACCAGCCGCGCAGTGCAAGCGACGAGCCCCCGTGGCACATCAATGAACCCCCCGGCGCACCCCCCGCCCGCCTCCACACCCTATGCCACCGAGCCCCACAGAAACCCACAAACTGGGACCCGTGCCAAACCACGCCACACCGGTACCCTTGCGCACCCCCACCCCCCCCCAGCCCCCCCCACCTCCCTCCCCCGGGCCCCCCACACCCACACCGGCCCATGCCCCCCCCCCCCCCCCTGCCCTTTTCCATCCGCCCCCCTCTCCTGCCCGCCGTGTGCCCCCAACCACCCCAGACCCTGTGCTTCCCCCCATTGTCCACTACCCATTGCTCACCCCACGCACCCCTCCCCCCCTCCCCCGACGCATGCACGCACCCCCCCCCACGTCCATCTTCTGCCCAACCCCCCCTCCCCCTCCCCTAGTGCCTCACCCCCACCGCACGGACACACTCTGACCCAACCCCCCCCTCACCACTCCCCCCTCCAGCCCCCCGCCAACTCCCCTGCCCCCAAACGCCATCCCCCCCATTACCTCCGGACCCCGCCCCTGCCCCCCCCCCCCCCCCCGCTACCGGAGCCCCCTCCGCCCCCGCTCCATTCTTCCCCCCCCCGACCCCCCTCTGACCCCCCGTCCTTGAATGGCGCTATCTCGAGCCTCTACCCTGCCCTGCTTCCCCATCCCCAGCCCTCCCCCGCACCCACCCCCCCGCCATGACTCACCACGCCCCTCCCAACCCCCCTCCGCACCCCGCCCCCGACCCCCCCCCGCTCTTAGCCCGCCCTTCCTAAACCACACGCCCCCCCCCCCCCGCGCCCAACCACCCCCCGCCCCTATCTCGCACTCCCGCACCGCCCCCGAGTCCCCCCTCTGACTCCTTGGCGACCAAAGACCACGCGCGCACCCCCCTTACCCCAAGCCCCCAACCCACCCACTGATACCTCGTCCCACCCTGCCGCTCCACCCGTTCCACTCCCCCCCCAGCCCCCCCCCCCGCCACGCCTCAGCCCTAGTCCCCGCCGTCCTGCCCCCAACCCCGCGACAAAGCCCCCACGGCAACGCCCTACCCTCCCCCCCCCCGCCCTCACGCCACCTGCGAGCCCTCGACCCCCTTCCCACAACACCCCCCCCCCCCCTGGACCCCGCTTCTCGCCCACCCCCCCCTGTATCTGACCAGACTTCCTCACCCCCCCCTTCTCCCCCCCCCCACCTCACCGCCCTTCCCCACCGCCGCGCATCCCTCCCCCCTCCGTCGAGTCCCCCCACCTCCCCCCCCTCACCTCCGCCCCTCTCCCGCCGCATCCCCAGTGACCCCGCCTCCTTCACCCCACCCCCAGGTTCCCCCCCCCTTCTTCCGTCTTCTCCCTCCGCCCTGCGGCTGCGCGCGACACGACAGACCTCCGCCGCCCCGAGCTAACCCCGCCCCGCACCCCCCCACCCCCCGTACTGCCCCTCTCCTCCTACCCCCCCCTCCCCGCCCCGCCGCCCCCGGCCCCCAGCGCCCCCCCCCACCAGCCCCTCCGACACTCTTGCCGACCAGCGGCGTTCCTCCGCCCCCCCTCCCCACCCCCCCCTCCCCCCCCCCCCCGCCTCCCCCCTGACCTCCCCCTTTACACCCCCCCTCTGCTACCACCCCCACTTCGCCCCCCGGCTGTCCCCCCGCCTCACACACTTCCCCATACCGCTAGGCAGACCACCCCCCCAACACACCAGGCCGGGTCCGTTGCTACCCCCCACCCCTGCACCCCCCCCCCCCCCCCACCTTGTCCCTCACGACGCACCGCCCTCACGCACCCCTTTGTCCCGCCCCCCCCCCCAACCCCTCCCCCGCGCCTACGCCGCCACCCCCCGACCACATCCGACCTCCCCACACATTCCCCCCATAGACACCCCTGCCACGACAAGCGACACAACCGCACCACCGGCCCACCCCCCCTCCCGCCCACCGCCCCCGCCACTGTCGGCCCACACCCCCAATCCCTCGGCTCCCCTCCCCCGCCCCCCCCCCCGCCCCTCACCTCCTCCACAGGGGCCACACCACGCTCCCGTTCCAGGACCCCCTCTAGCCCCCCGCCCCCGCCTACTCCCGTCCACTCCCCCCTACCACCTCCCCTCCCCCCGGATTCCCCCACCCTCTCCCCCATTCTCGGTCCGCCAGCTTCCCCCGGCCTGCCCTCCCCCCCGCTTCCCCTAGCCCCACCCCCCGCTCCCCCCCCCTGACTCCCCTCTGTCATGCCCGTACCCCTACCTGCTCCCGCGTGCTGCGCACCCGCTCCCCCCCCCCCCCCGCTGCCCTGCCCCCCCCCGTCGGCCACACACGTCGCCGCCCCCGCCACTCCACGCTAAACTCCTAGGCTAGACCACCTCCCCCCTCCTCCGGCCTCCTGCCCCCTCCCCCCTCCTCGGCCCCCAACCCCCACCTCCTCCCCTCCCCTTCACTGCACCCCCGCCCTGACCGCGCCCGCCTCCCCCCGACCCCCGCCCCCCGCTCTGACCCCCCAGCCCTGGGTGTCCTCCGCCCTCCTAAGCCACGCCCCACGCATCCACCCGCACCCCCAAGGTCATCCGCAGCGCCTGTACATTAGAGTCCCACTTCGCCCCCCTCCCCTCACCCCCGGTACGCCGGCCCTCCCACGGCCCCACCCCTAAGCGACGCCCGTTCCCTCACCGGCCGTTCCCAGCCCACGACACCGCACGCGTTTTTCCCTCCGCACTGCCCCCTCCCCCAAGCCACCCCCATTCAACCCCCCGTCCCGCCCAGAACAACCCGCCCTCCACCCCACCACCCCTCCCCACCTTCAGCGCCCCTCCATCTCCCCATCCCCCGCCGCGCGTCCCCCCCCCCCACCGAATGCTGCCCCCACCCATAGCCCCCGCAACTGCCCCCGCCCGGCGCTCCCTTTCCCCACCCTCCCCCCCTCCGAGTCGCCGACCGCCCCCCCGCCCAAAGAACCCCTTCCCCCTCCCATCGATCCTCCGCCCCCCTCCCACCCACCTCCCCCCGCGACCGACCACCCCGCCCCCCCGTCCGCTGCCCCTCTCCCTCGCCCCCAGCCATCCCGCCCCCTTTCCTTATCTCCGCCGCCCCCCCCCCCACCAGCTTCAACGAACCCCCCTACAATTATTTCCCTCACCCCTCGCGTCGCCCAACCTCAGCCCCCCCACGCCCACCTCACCCGCAACACGGGCCGATCGCCACTGCGGACCCCCCCCCACACACCCCCCTCCGCCTCCCCCCCCACCCCCAGACTCCCAATATCACACCACAAATCAAGACCAAACTACGTGCCTCCCAGGCCAGTACGAACGCCGCCCCCCGGCCCCCGCCAGGCGCTCAACGTGCGGCCCCCCCCCCCTCACCTACCCACAGACCTCCCCTCACTCCGCCTGCCCCCCCCCACTACCACCCCCGCCCCCCCCACTGCCACCCCATCCCAACCTCCTCCCCCCCCGCACCCCCCCCCATCCCCCCGACCGTCCCCCCGTCTACCGCCTCCCACCTCAACATACACTAGATCCCAGCCACGCGGCCCCCCCACCCACTTCGCAACCCCGCGGCAACCACGCATGCTTCCCCCACTGTCCCCCTCCTCCTCCCCCGGTCCCCCCCGTGTCCATCCACTCCACTTGGGTCCCTAGATACCCCGCACCCCCCCGACCCTCTATCGCCCACCCACTCAGCACCACTCCCCAACACCCGACAACTAACCCCCATCCCGCGGCCCCCTGTCCCTCCCCCCGCTCCTTCCGCTCCCCGTCCCCTGCCATCCTGCCAGCGATGCAGCGCACCCGCTCCCACACGATCCCAGCCTACCCGCCCTATACGTCCCTCCCCCCGCGCCCCCCTCGACTCCGGGAACGATACGCCCCCCGCCCCCCACCCTACCACAGGGGGCACCCCCCCCCGTAGCCACACCGACGCACGACCCCCCAGCGGTACGCTCCGTGACCCAGACTCACTCCCGGTTCCCGCCCGGTCGGCCCTACGCCCACCTCCCGCCACGTCCCACTCCCAACCCGGGCTTGCAGCCCCATCCTACATTATCAAGGCCCACACCTACCGGAAGTATGCAGACACCCGCACCCTCTAAAGCCCTACCACCGAGCACAACCTCTTCTGCTACGCCGACCCCGCGCCCCACCCCTCCACAACCCCGCCTGCGCCGCCCTCAGCTCCCCGCTACTCACCAAGTGTCTGCCCCTACACGCGTACTCCCTCCCCCCGCTGACCGCCGGCCCCCTCCCTCGGCCTCCCAACCGGCGCACCCCCCCCTGCCCACCCCCTCCCCCCCCGAGCACCCTCCCCCCCGCTTCCCCCTGCATCCCCACCCAGGACCTCGCGCGCTCCGCCCCCCCTCATCCGCCAGGCCTACCCCCCCCCCCCTACACCACCCCCCCACTACCATACCTGACCACCCGCACCCCCCCCCCCCCCCACCCCCCTCGCAGCACACGCCCCTGTCCTTGCCCTAATCACACCCCACAGCCAATTCCCCAGTTAAATCCAGTGAGTTTTTGCACTGTATAGCACTGTGGGGCATTGCTATAAGCGAAAGTGGCTGTGGCGCATGTGGCCAGGATCCGGCTTTCACCAGAAAATGCCCAGGCAAAACCAGCTAACCCCAGGTAGAAAGTAGGGTCCCAGTCCCTCTGCTCCCTACGCCCAGCCTGTACCGGAGGGCATCAGCAAAAAGCTGTGGTCTTTAATTTGGCAATGCATCAGGATGAGGTCACGGGGTGTTGTCAAAGCAGAAAAGGGGATTCTGAGACTCGGAGAGCACCTGTACTTATAAAACACGGGCATGATAAGACTAAGCATGATTACATTAGGCAGACAGACCCTCCGGCAAGCCAAGTGGAACACTCCGGACCTGCTCCCTCTGACTGAGGACGTTCGAGCCATGCATGCACATATTGAGGTATGTCGACCTGAATATGTGCAAACCCTAATAAGTGATCCAACGTCTAAGCATTGGTCTAAACTGGCAGTTTGGACTCTTTGTGAGGTCATTATTTTCAATCGAAGAAGGGAAGGTGAGGTTTCAAAGATGCCACTGACAGCGTTTACCTTAAGAAGTAAGACTGGGATCCATTCTGACATTGCTCTGGGACTGTCCCAACTTGAGAAAAAGCTGTGTCAGCATTTTCAACGCATTGAAATTAAAGGGAAAAGAAGTGGGAAAGTGGTGGTTCTTTTGACTCCTGAAATGATTGCTTGGATGGAGGTGCTGGTGGAGAACAGAAGGGCCTGTTCCATCTCTGACCATAACCCATACTTCTTCTCCCGCCCGGGCGCAGACACCCACATCAGGGGATCAGACTCCCTACGGCAGGTAGCCAAAGAATGTGGTGCGGTGCATCCAGAGATGCTATCCTCAACCAAACTTAGAAAGCACATAGCTACTATGTCTACAGTTCTCAATATGAAAGAGAATGAAATGGACATACTAGCCAACTTCCTCGGCCATGACATTCGCATCCACAGACAATATTACAGACTACCAGAGGGGACACTGGAGCTGGCCAAAATCAGCAAAGTGTTAATGGCCATGGAGCAGGGAAGAGTGACGGAATTCAAAGGAAAGAGCCTCGACCAGATACAAATTGAGCCTGAAGGTAATTCTTGATATTATTAAAATATGTATAATTTTTTTCCCCTAAAGGCCACTTGTATTTTTATTTTCTGTGCGACAGGGAGAGCAGTCGAGATCCTCTCACAAACGGACGGGCTAAAAGAAACTTCAAGCGGAGAACCTTCAACCATTCATCCAGATGCACCCCATGGTAGTGGCAGTGCCCCTTCTGGTAAGTGTACCAGGTGGGGGATTACAGCCAGGCTGCTTGGTCCTAAACCCTGGGAGTGTATATTGCTAATATATTTTTATTTCTCTCCCTAGAACGTTAGAGAAAGCCATGGTCTGCATCTGAGGTGAAGGCTGTGGAGAAGACCATGACGCCTTTCATACAGACTGGAAAAGTCCCTGGGAAGTCTCACTGCCTGCCTGGCCTGGCCTGGCCTGGCCTGCATTAATGCAGGCCAGGTCGGAAATGTATGGACATCGATTTCCAAGATGGCTGCTGTGCTGATGTGGTGGTGTCACTTAGCTCCAGAATCTTAACTATATCAAGGAAATAAGACCGCATCTACCTCATATAAAGTAATCCCTTATGAACTGAACAAACAAGGATTTTGGATGTGCAAGTATTTTGAGTCTCTGTGGCATATCTTGGACATTTGTGCTCAACAGCAGACACTGAAGAAAATCCCAACCCTGCTAGCATACCTACCTGTACAATCTTCATTGATGCAATGGCTAATAAGAAACTGGCTGAAGACATTGAAGAAATTAAGAAGGCTCTGGGCTTCATGTCACAGGAAATAACTCAAGTGGCAACCGAACAAAGAGGCCTAAAGGAATTGCTGGAGGAAATTAAACAACTGAAAAAAGAGGCACAAGAATTGATGACTTAGAGCAGTACTCAAGGATGGACGACCTGTTGATATCAGGGCTTGAAATAAAACGATCTTATGCACAGGCAGCAGCCCGTGGTGGGGAGAGGAAAATCTTCTAAATCCTGCTTCAAGTCCTGAACTATCAACGCTTGAACAACAGGTAATCAAGTTCTTTGACAGCAATGGCATTGCAATAGACAGTAAGAACATGTTGCTTGCCATTGTTCTTTGTGTTTTTAGAAAGAGAATGTCGTCTTGTGACACTGAACTTTCATCCTTGTTTTCATCCTTGAAGTCACTGTTGAGAATCTTGAGAGCATCTGCCGGCGTCACTACGGGGAGCTCTTTGGTCGAGACTCTATGACATACTGTGGAGCTGCTTACATTGTCAGTGTGAGTTACTGTTGGACCTACAATACTCCACCCTAATGCTGTGCGAACTGCATAAGGCTCGTTCTCTCCTCCCAAGATAACCTGCCTTGGAGCCAGGGCCTTGGAACAACTGTAGCCAATTAACAGGCCTACTTCACATTCTAACTGTGGGGGAATCTCGTTTACTAATTCCACGAGATGATTCCATTGCCTTGCTGTGTCACAGGTAGGAATGTGAGGGCGGTTCACTGGGATACAGTCCTTTGTGTAAGCAGGAGGGAGTTCAATGAATTCGGCGGAGTTGTAGCCTCTGATCTTGAGACCTGTGACACGTTTACTTGGCATAACAGTATCTTTACCAAGCATTGTAGTCAGCCTTAACTGTATTGGAGTGGACTTAGCTTTGACACTGTTTGAAACATCTTCATCTATAAACACTGTGTCACTTTGGGTGTCTAAAAGTGCATAGACAAGTTGTTCTGTTCCAGGATGGTGCTCTGAGGAAACCCAAACTGGTACGATCATTGAAGTGTTTGCTCTTTGGTCCTTAGTTTCTGTGTTGAGAGACAAGGAAGTTGCGGCTTGCTCTGTGTTGCATTGACTTTGGAGTTGACTTGTACTTGTATTGGCATTTTTATAGTTAAAGTCGTGTAGACAAGTGGGGTGTTTCTTTTGACACATTTCACACACAAGTCTGTAGCGACAATCCTTTGCACTGTGACCAGGTTTCAGACATCCATAGCACAGTCTCTTCTCCTTGATGTACTTTCTCCTATCATCAAGTGATTCACCTTTAAACTGTGGGCAATTGTGAAGCTTATGCCCTTCTTCTTGACAGAGTAAACATAGCAGTTTTGTAATTGGCTTATATTCTTTTGAACTGTCAGTCCCTGTTGCTATTTGTGTGTGCAGGATATTGCATGCTGATGTTTTCTCCCTCAGATTTGTTTTATTTGTCGTGTCTGATGAGCGGAGTGCATGGAAGGAAGTGATTGGATTGCACACAATTTCTGCTTCAGATGAAATGAACTGGGCAAAATCCTTGAAACTGGGAAACTCACCACTGTCCTTCATTACCTGGGTGGCTTGTCGATTCCACCTTGCAGCTGCCCAGTCTGGAAGCTTCTGCACAAGTTTTTGGTTCTCCTCACAATCATTGAGAATACTTAAACCTTTAATGTGGGGCATGGCCTCGTGACATGTCTGTATGAAATCAGAAAAGTCTCTAAATCCTGTGGCGTCTTTGGTTTGTATTTTATGCCAATTTGTAAGTTTTTCTCTAAACGCTCGTTGTATGACAAAAGACTGTCCGTACCTTTGGTTGAGACGTTCCCATGCATCCTTGTATGCATCACTGTCATTTCTGTAAAATATGCCATCAAGTGATTTCCGCGCTGTGCCTCCAACATATTTTCTTAAATAGTGCAATTTGTCAGCAGGTGAGATATTCTTTTTATCAATGAGTGCGGTGAATGAAGCTTTCCACTCAATGAAGTGTATTGGGTCACCTGTGAAAATGGAGGGCTCTGGCATTGGGAGTCGGTTCATTGCAATGCTATCTTGAATGGCTTGTGCTAAGTATAACACATCTGCTTGTGGAGGTGAAGTTGACACTGTGCAACTATTCAACATTGTAGCAGGAGTTGAAACCTTGGGGTCCTGCTGAACTGATCTGTTTATGACTTCACAGTGGACAATGTTTTCATTATTTATTTCTTCATCATAAACTCTTATTCTAGCTTGAGCAGACTTTACTTCCTTTTCCACCTTTAGTCTCTCTAATTCACAATTTAACAGGTGAATTTTTTCCTTTTGTTTTTCCTCTTCCTTTAACACTTCATACTCTGCTTCCTTAGCTGCTAAATCTGCTGCAGCCTCTGCTCTCTTTGCAGCTACAACTGAATTAACAGTAGAGGAGTGTCTGCTCGAGATAGAAGCAGAAGAACCATACACTGAGTGGGCATATTCCTTTTTAATGAGCTCATGGAGACACGTCCTAACCATATGACTGTCATAATCATCAATGCCGGAGATTCTTTCTTGTGCCACTTTCATAAGGTCAATGGTGACAGCCTCACAAGCATCTACGAATCTTCTTGTTTTTACTGAAGGGACCATGTGATTTCTGATTTCTGTATATAACTGTATAACACTGTCTCTATGTTTCTCTATATCATCCATGAGTAGAGCTAATTGATCAGTTGGAATGTCTACCTTTAGTTGCTGACGTGACATACGTACTTGGTTTTTCCATTGCTCATATAGACGAAGAAGCCTTTGTTCTTTTCTGTGTGCCTCCTCCTCCTGATATAACTGCATTTTCTCTGTGACCTTCTTTGGACGAGTAGAACGATGAGGTTCCTCTTCCTCACTAACCTTGCTGTCCTCCATGTTCTCTTAATTGTCTTCAGATGCCTTCATGTTGAGGATGAGATGTTACTTTAGACCTTAAATACCAGATGACCTTCGTTGGAGCCGTGGCTTTGGGACCTTGTGGATGAAGTTCTCACTCCAGCCTCAGGGTCAAGCTCTTACTGTAGCGTCCCCGGTTGATTTGACTGGTCACTCGAAACTGATGGTTCACAACTTTATTGTTTCTTTGGTATGTGAACAACACCGTAAGAGCTAAAAGAATTCACACATTTAA